GAAAATCCCTTCATTTGATAAATTTAAGGGCAGTTCATTCGGTAAAGTTGTACAGAAAATGCGGTACCCCAAATTTTCATACCGTTTAGTGTTTGGTTCGATAAATAACCGAATTACCAAAATTTTATTAGAATTTTTTTTTGAAATTAATTTAGTTTAAATACTAATATATATATATATATATATATATATATATATATATATATATATATATATATAAAAATGAATATCACACCGAATTAACGGTTCGGTAATAGGGATGGCAATGGGTACGGGTTTGTCGGGTCTTAGACCCGGAACCGACCCGTTTGGGGCGGGTTTGGGTAAGTTAAATGGTTTTGGGTCGGGTAATGGGTTTAAGTTTCTAGAACCGGATGGTTCTGGGTCGGGTTCTGGATCTTATTGGAACCGACCCAGAACCGACCCGTATAAATATATTATATTTTATAATTAAGCTATATATACAAATTAATTTATGATTTCATTTATCAAACTTTCAATTTTCATCGTGTCTATTATCATTTATCCATTTTTCACCATTTCATTTTTTCGAATCTCATTTCTCGTAAATAAAACTTATCATTTGTTGACCACCGCTAGCTATCTTGCCTTTTGAACTTTACTTATCGTAAAAATTAAATATAATTATTATATAATTTTGTTATTCACTTTTATATCACTTGTAGAAGTATTTTAAAATATGGTATATTAAGTTTTAGGTTATTTTGTTAAAAGATAGAAGCAAAATATTATGAAAATTAAAAAATAAAAAATAAAAATAAAATTTAACGGTTCTAGCGGGTCTGACGGGTCAGAACCGTTTAATTCGGGTATGGGTTGGGGCGGGTCTGGGTATAAGCTGAACAGGGTTGGGGCGGGTCTGGGTTTTATATATTTTTCATGGGTCGGGTCTCGGGTTTAGACAAACCCGGCCCGGAACCGACCCGTTGCCATCCCTATTCGGTAATCGACACGTACAAATTTCGTTTGTTTCGATTCGATCGATTTACCGATCAGATGAATACCCCTAGGTAAATTTGACATCTTAATGGTGAACATTAAAACAAATAGATAGTTGAAGGGATGATTGTAATTATGCAAACAGTAGATTTTTTTTTTTTTTGTAATTACACTTTACCTCAATGGTGGCCGTAATTTGTCCTTATTATTATTACTTTTACGTTAAATTACGGTACCCATGAGGTAAGATCAAATTACGAAAAAAATCCTCATGTTTAGGTATTTACAATCACCCATCAACATTTAATCTTCTTACATGTTCACTCTTATGGTTTTAAATTCAACATAATCTTTTAAATTCCGTGGAATGCTCTCTAATTCGTACTCGTTTTGGGAAAAAAATGCAGTTTCTGATTCACTATAATCTGATATTTACAAGCTTAAGAGACACACATCTTATGATCATCCTGTTTTAAAATACGCTAAATTGGTTACAAACCGGAGAATATTCAGCACAATGTAGAAAATTCTATTAAATTTAACATTGTAAAAATAAACGTGTAAAAAAATTTCTAGTTAACAAAGTAGTTGTAATTACCAAACAACTTAGTTTTTTTTTTTTTTTTTTTTTTTTTAATTTAGATGACTGTAATTTACACTTAAATTATTGCAAATTTTAAAATAATTAACCCAACCATTTGCATCCCAACTCCGGCTACCCGATCGGAAAGCAAGCAAAGCATTCTCCGAGAATCAATGGAGGAGAAAACGAAAGCCGGAAGCAAGAGAACGAAGCTAGGGTTTTGGAAATGGGCAATAGCTTCGATCGTACTCAGGCTAATTCTCAGTTATTTCTCCAAGTATCTCAACCTCTCCTCTCGCCCCGAAGTCTCTACTCCTCTCACCAGCCTACGCCGCCGTAAACTCGCCGTCCCTCTCTCTCTCTCTCTCTCTCTCTCTCTCTCTCTCTCTCTCTCTCTCTCATGGATATGTATATATTTTCAAGTATTATCGATTTCCTTATTCTCTTAATTATTGTGTGGTTTTGTGCCCTTGCAGTGGCGGAGGGCTACTGGCTGAAGCAACTGTCGATATCGCCTTATTCTGGTTCGTATGATTCAAATTTACACTTCTTAAAATAAAAAAAAAATAAAAAAAAATCTGTTCAGCTTGATTTGGTTTTTCGTGATTCTTTGATTGAATGATAATGAACAGGTTCAATGTACCATGGATCGCCTTTGTTGCTCTCAATCCTTGGCCCTCTTACTGCGAAGAAGTAACTTCTCGTATCCTAATAAACAAACATTTCGAATAACTTCGTGCTTCTCTCTCTGGTTGGCAATGCTGTGTGCCTAACTGATTGTTGATGATTGATTAAATGTGTAATGCAGAATTGAAGGACATGCTAGCCATCTCTTGTGCAGGTATTTGTTTCTCCGTCTCTGTGTAATATCTCTTCATTTTGTTCGTATGGCTGTGTTAAATGTTAGGGATCGCTTGATGTGCATTTTAGATTCTGAAATCACTAGGGCTGTTGATAACAAATCGAAATAGTTTCATCTATGTTTTTTTTTTTGTCGAATTTTGGGTGATTAGGAATATATAAAACACTCGACGATATTTGTAGGACAGAAACAAAATTAGTCAGCAATTGTGCCCCTATAATGTATAGCAATCATGCTGCTGCAACCCAGCTAGGCCCTTTACCCTCACATAGTTGTGGAAGTTATCTGCCGAACTAGTTTAATGTAGTTATATAATCAAGCCAACGAAGAAACTGACCATTCTTAATTATTACATGTGCCAATTAGATATTTGTTTAGCAATATAACACGTGAAATGTGAGTCCGAACACTGAACAGGTCAGGCCAAACAAAATTTTCCTCCACTGCTATATTACATCTTATTAAAAGTAGAAAGGGGATAAGGTATTTATATTTGACTCTTGCACTTATGCTTTAGTGAAGCTCGTGTGACCAGTTTCTAGAACAGGTATCTTTTCTCCTGCCAGAATAATCTTACGATGCTATGCCTACATCAATTCTGGCACAGCATTCAACTTGATGTCTTCATGTTGACATGGCTCGTAGACATTGATATGAGTCTTAAAAAAGCTAATTTACAATCAGGAGTAATAAATGAAAAATCTCTGACTTTTCTCCAATGTAGTTTTTAAATATAGATGTGTTATTTGTCACATTATTGAAAGTTGTATTTCTGTAAACAGTTGACATGTTAACAGCTGGAGTGCTATGTTAATCCTAAATCACTAATTGAAACAGTTGGAACAGATTATATGTGGCGCCAATTACTGCATGGATTTGTTGAAAGTTTATCGCCTTTCATAATATGATATTTTATTGCACTAGTTATTGCACATCAAATGGCTTCTTGTGTTGTTTATGGTCACCCTCAAATTATTTTTGCCGCTTGAATCTTTTTATCTTTATTTAGTAGTCTGTCCTTTGAAAATCATTTATTTAGCTGCATCGAATATCAACACATTTTTGGATATAGTCTGGTTTCTGTGATTGCAGATTTTATCAGCGCAATTCTTATTCGTGCAACTGGACATATTCTTGTAACAGCACATGGTCACAGTTTGAAAGCATTAGGCCTTGATAAACTGTTCAAAGACACAGGTAAGCCAAATAGTAGTTGCTGTCATTGTTATTCTGTTTTTCCCCATCATACGAGTACTCTAGTTATCATGCTTTTGAAATTTCTACAGGGAACTGATTAAGTTACTTTTATTTTGAAAAGTAGAGATTCTTCCCTCTGGTGATATTGCTGCCCTTGTGTATTTGTGGAACCCTTTCACGATCATCTCTTGCATTGGGTTTAATACATCACCCATTGAAAACCTGTTTGTCATCTTGTCTCTCTATGGAGCATCTGCAGGTATGAATGAACAACCATTTCCTCTCTATGCATGATTTACAATACTGGAACTTAAGAAATACTTCATGATGTTTTATTGCATTGCTCTAAAGCTCTTCAAGTAAAAAGTGGTAGTTTTGTGTGTTTTAGAGAGATTCCCATTCCAGTTTAATATTTTTTTCTACCCACTACGTTTAAATTCACATTGGCTCGAACAGTTATTTTCTTCACTCATGCTAATATAAGCATGACTGAAGTGCAATGCAAACCTTTCTAAATTTCAGCAAGCGGACTTAATTTTGGTTGCAAAATTAAATGGCAGTACTAAATGGTACAGTTTCCCCGTGAGTATATATCCATTTCAAATTTAAAGATTAAAAGTTAATCATCCTCCACGTAAGCTGCAGTTATCTAAGAAGTCAATGACCCAATATCGTCTCTTCTTCTCTCCAATTTGAACTCGAGTAATTTATCAACACAACTAGAGAAAGACTTTATGACTAGGTAAATATCCTATATATCTTCATTTTCCCTTTTAACCAAGGATATCGTTGAGTGTCTGTATAGATATATATTTTTTGCATAAATTATATCATAATTTTAGGTGTATGCACTAGTAATGCTTATTTATTGAATATTGATTTAGTTAATCATTTCCAAGTTCCAGCAAACCCTTGCTTAAAGTAGGAGATAAAACTAACAAGGATTCTTGACCACTAATTTTGAGGATGACGAAAGCATGTTATATGAAATACCTTTGTACCTCTTAAAACCTCAAGTCAGAGGGTCTCGGGCTTAAGCTTATCAGCTCTTCAAAACATCTTATAGGATGTTTGAGAGCTTATATGTTCCGAAAAGGTGTGTGTTAGTTTTTTCTGTTAGTTTTTTTCTCAAAAGAGCTCATAGGATCCAAATATAAGTTTTGCTTGAGAGCTTTTAAGTTTTTCAAAAAGTAATGATGATAATTTTGTACCAAAGCATAGAAAGATTCCAAATTATTATTAAATTACGATCTTATCTTAACATTTTTTTCTAGTTTTGATGATTTTAGTTACAAAATTGCCATTACTAACATCTTAAAGGTTACATCTTGTTATTTTATTTAAATACTTCAACAAGTTACTGTTAGAATAGATCTAATAACTTATAAGCTCTCTTAAATAGTCTTAGTTAAACAACCCCTAACTTATGATTCCTTAAGCTTAATTGGAAGTTGAATGTACCGATACCTGTACTGTAGTATGTATTTAACGATGTCCGTTGTTAAGAAAGACTTCATGGATCTATTTATCTAGGCAATAATTGGATGCCAAATTTCCATTTGGTTGTCGTTTTTAGGTTTCCAAACATGATAAAAGATAAGATTAGTGAACTCATCTAAGATCATTGAGAATTTGATCATTCAATATTGCTTAATCTAATGCCCTAAGTAATTGGTTCCAACATACGCAGGACTAGTACCATTGGCAGCTTTTGGGTGGGTCATAGCATCACATTTGTCTCTGTATCCCTTGGTTTTAGTCATTCCGGTATGTTTTCATGAAATATTTATATTTGGCTTAACAGCCTTTTTAATCACGGGCAGGTACTGGAATATTTTTGTTCGTCTATTCCAGGTTATCTTTTTATTAGGTTACGGTCTGGATGCACCCCCAAGAAAATTGTTTGTGCAAAGTAATTTACTAGTTGGAGAAGAGAGATCAAAGGATCAAGTTGGAGTCAAGAATAAACCCATTAAAACAACTAATTTTGCTTGGCGGCGAGTCGTCCTTTTCTTTTTCTGGGCAACCATATGGATAACTTACGTCTTAATTTTGTGTGCTATATCCATGAAAGATTATGGTGGTCTTGCAGAGATGTTTAAGAGGTACAACATTGTAAAGTGATACCTTACTTGCTTTCTGATGTTACTCCCATCTTCTGTGGAAATCGAACTTTCAGATACTAGATCTAATTTATGTCCTTTGGTACCAGATGTCTATAACCTTCAGAATTTAGAGGCATATATAATTGTTGAGATCTCTTCTCAAAATCAATATGTCTGTTAATTAGATCCATATCCTTGTGTACAGCGCCCATTCGTAATAGTAGATATGATGTCGTTCGTGAATTTTCTGGTACTTGGTTGCTGTTAAGTCTGCTATTTATTTGTCCTCAACAAATGACAAACTAGTTTCAATCTGGAATAGTAATTTTCCAAAACTTATCGTTTTACTTCGAATCTCACTCCAACAACTACTAGGGTTGACAGTTTTTTCTTCTTCTTTCTTCTTTCATCTCAGGTTGCCCACATTTAGTTTGCGAATTATTTCCTAAAACATAAGTTTCTTGTATTTCTTTTAGGTTTTAGCACTGCAATTGAAAAGATTGCAAGACAATGCTATCTTATGTACTATTACAACTCAAAAGGACGATAATAACTCGTCTCTCTTCTTGTATCCTATACCATTTAATTTAGGCATAAATGTTCTGCCTCACTTTAGTGCTCAACGACAACGAGGGTATTTGAGACTTTTTTTTTATAATTGAAATATTCCGCTTGTAATTAGATTCTGATAATGGAAGATGCGTTCTTAATTATATCTTGTCATTTTAAAGCTATTGTGTCTTGTATCCATTGGCGTCTCATGATGACGTCCGGCTTGATATTGTTGCTTCTCTGTTATTTGGAGCTGCACTAATTACTTTAATGTCTTGTTGCAGGACCTATGGGTTTACTCTTACTGTTAAAGATTTATCTCCAAATATAGGTGTCTTGTGGTAAGTTGCAGGTGACTTCGTTGGCTTGCAAAATGTTTATTAGTTCGATAGCTGTTAGTTTCCTTTCCTTCTTCCGTAACGTATTGCTTCTTTATTACAGGTACTTCTTCGCAGAAGTGTTTGATTTTTTCAGGAATTTTTTCGTGATAGTTTTTCATGTGAACATCCTATTCATGATATTACCGTTAGCCATACGCCTAAATCATAGGCCCTGCTTTTTGGTCTTTGTGTACTTGGCAATCTCTTCAATGCTAAAATCTTATCCTTCAGTGAGCACTCTATCTGTCTCTAAATTTGAAAATATGCATGTATTCCCTTTGTCTGCCCGGGACTCAATATCATCATTACCCATTTTCTGTTTCTCTTACTTCTCTCACGTAAATCACACTGCTTAAAACAGCTTATATTTCTGTGAATTTTCTTAGTATTGTCAAAGGAAATGGAACCGATATCTACTCCATTGTCTCTTTTCGTTTGAATAAGAATTAAGCTTGTGAACGTAAGATATTCATATTTAGTTTTATATCGATACAATATTCACACAGTTCGGTAATCAACTGATGATTTTTTTTTCTGAACCTTGGTTACAAATAGTGGACACAGTTGAACTATCATGAATGGTCACATTAGACTAGAACTTTATGCTACTGCCTAAATCTTATGACGCGAGTACGAAGCATGTGTTCAGATAGGATCAATCAGATATAACTTAATGATAGTCCTGCTTTGCGGTGTACCATCAATCAAAGTTTGAAAAACTTAATTTGTTTATGATAACTTGTATCTGAATCAGTTCTAGAATACATCCGAGTGCTAAGTATTGAATACCGCATCCCCAACTGGTGGCAACCTCTTACAGGTTGCTACAGTTTAGCTCAACAGATTCTCTATGAAAATTATGGCGATGTAGAACACTCTTAATCTCAAATCATTTATTAGAAGAAAAAAAAATCATAAACGTGTTGGTAGAGTTGAGTGACAATTGTCTTCAGAATTAGTTTCGCTTTTTATAATCAGCTAACTCTGTTTGACACCCTGATTTAATCATGGTCCGTTGATCAGGTTGGAGATTCAGCTTTATACTTGAGCTTACTGGTGCTATTTGTGAATGAGTTATCAGGTATATTGATCTGTGTGTGCAAGCAGGCTCATACATGCACACTTACAAGTACACTGTTTCACTAGTTTGGCGATTAAGATCTAACATCTTATAATCCATCTGGCCTGCAGAAATGAAATTGTCTTTCTTCCTCTTTTGCGGATATGTTGGGGTGTCATTACTAAGCCCTGTAATGCACAATCTATGGATTTGGAGGGTACGTGTCTGTATGCTGACATGGATATGCATAACCTGTTCCTGGGAATTTAATATTCTGATTCGTCATCTTTGTAACTCTTTGCAGGGAACCGGGAATGCAAACTTTTACTTTGCAACTGCTATGGCATACGCATCTTTCCAGGTTTTTCGTTTTTCGTTTTTTTTTTCTTGTTCATTCTTAAAAATGAAATTATGCTGATTTATATATATCTCTTGATATCAACCAAGAAAGAACAAATGTATCTATATCCCGTCTCTTATCTTCATTTGCTATGTGGACAAATCCAGTACGTGAGCAACGATGCAGAATTGAAACGGACAACTTATGAATATTTTATGCTCGGGGGGTTGGAATTAACGCAACTTGTTTGTATTTAATATTGAATCCATAGAAGTTAATGTGAATGGTTGGTTCTTGAAATAGCCAATTGAAAAATATTACGTGCTGAAAAAATTTAGCTTGTTATTTTAGAGTGAGCTTCGCGTTTCTGCTTCTTTCATTTATATGACAAATTCTGTACCGTAGAGAATTTCTTTTGAAGCCACTTGAAGATGTGACAGTTACCAAGAACAATTATCGCTTGTCTTCAATTTAAGTGGGATTTTGCTACAAAGAATGTATTTGAAACTTGCGGTGCATGGAAACATTGAAGACGAACCAATTGGAGTTCATATAATTAACATCTCTTCTTTTCACGACTTCTCTTGAAAGCGTTTATTCAATTAATTAATCCATTTTCTGTATTTGTTGCAGATAATTCTTGTGGTTGAGAGTGTCAGTGCTATGCTTAATTATGACAGAAAGATCAGAAAATTATGTACTACTCCACTTTGACAAGTCTTTTGATTTCGATAAAGGCTCTTTCGTTTGGCAATATATTCGGTAATTTCCTTTAATTCACTATTGCAGGAAAAAGAAAAAAAAAGACGAGTAATCTTTGTAATTCTCGTTTTAGATACCGAATGCAGACAGTTTAGGTCATTTTCTTACTGTCTTTTTCCTATCTATCCACTTATTTTAGATTTGTCTGTAAACTACTCTCTCCACATGTATGTACCTATCTATATATCTGCATATTTACGAACGATCGTATATTAACGATTTCGTATTTACCGATTATGGTGTTTTGGTGCTACCTAAGACTTGTATTTACATATAAACTACTCAATCTATCTATTTATACGTATCTATCCATATATCCGTGTATGTCATGAATGACAACACTCGACGATAGATGATAACTTGTTTTCTTGCAGTCGGGTTAAGTTGAAGTTAACGAGGAAAATGATATTCGTCCCGAAAATACGAAATTTCGATTTTCTTGAGTTACTCTGAAATAGCAACATGATATTTCAAGTTGCTTTGGAAAATCCACGAAGGATTTACCAACTTTCATTTAAAAAAAAAATAATATATTTATTTAATAAATTATATTTGTACAATTAGAAAGCTGTCTTGAACGAATAACGTGGTCAGCAGTAAAATAGTCAGCCCTAATATTCAGGGCGACCGGCAAAGTCCAGACAACTTTCCACTATACTATTTATTTTGGGAATTACACCACCCCATTAATTATTTAATTTAATTTAATTTAATTAAAATAATATTTCTCGAAGTTACAAACTCCAAGTGAAGCAATAAAATTTACTATTTTTCTAAGAACTATTTATTAATGAATAATGATCATGTACTTGAAAGTGATAATATTAAATAACAATGTTTTGACTCTATATTGAAAATTAATTTAAAAAAAAAAAGTTAGAATACAATATAAGTAGATTGGGAATGTTCTTGTTATATATGAGCCTAGTGATTCTATAGGGTTATACTAATTATAGGGACAGCTTTATTTTTCTTTTATTTCATATTTTAAATAATTGTGAACAATTAATTGGGAGGGTAAATAATTATGAATTTTAAATTGATATTTCAGACAAAAGATTGTTTCATGCATACGCTATTGCATAGCCAACACATTGGCATATAAATTTCTGGATTTTTTTTTTTAATTTTATTATTGTTATTTCGGACGCCCGTCAACCACCCTCAGATCGCCTGTTCCGATGTGCACCTCCATTGTAGGACATATCTGCTTGCGTACTACACAACACAAAATAGGACGCCCTAACTGGATTCAGTATGTACAACTGTTGAAGTCATACCCAGTGGCGAAGCCAGAATTTCATAATCGCGGTCGAATATACATAAAAATATATAAATAAAAATTAATTTAAATAAATTAATGAGAACAATGATTGTTTCAAGAGTGACGAGTTTAAGATATTGTTACATTGTAGATTTAAATTTTCAGGTGTTCGAGGCAGCGCCTCCAGAAAAAAGAAGAAGGATTTCTTCTCTTTTTCTAAGAAGATAGAAAATGCAAAACTTAGAACTTTTTTACATTAATTTGAATTTTGATGGACTAAATAATAAAAAAAAAAAAAGGGTGGACTTGAGTCTGCCATTGCTCAATATCAGACTGACCCTAGGTTACAAGTTACGTAACTTCCTTATCCTACTTGTTAAACTTATTTATTATTTTTCTTTATTTTCTTCAATTATTTATTTTTATTTTTATATAAAACGTAATTGCTTAAAATTATATGAGCACGATATAAAGGCTATAAATAATATATATACATATATAGTAGTAAAAACATTTAAAATTTGAGGGGGTCATGGCCCCCCGACCCTACACTGGTTTTCCCACTAGTCATTCCCGATTTGAACTCTCGTTTTTTCGAAATTCTTTTCTTTAGATGATCCTTCAATTCATATCCACCCTAAAATCAGGTGTACCCGTCAATTCAAGGCAATGTAGCCTCCTTAATGCCATCAAAATTTCTACTATCATTAGTTATGTTTGGTATACAATAATTGGGATACATTTCGATATCCCTACAAATGTCACCCCTATATTTAATTGTAGTTTCAAATTCATTACCAAAGATCTACAATAGACCGACTCGTCACACATGGTTAACTTTGTATGACTTTACATCTCTAGTGCAGTTTTAGTGTAATTTGCCAAATATTGCATGATAGTGAAGATTTAACCCGTACATCTATATAGTTACAACTGTAGATTCTTTCAATTACATAATAAAACAAACATATTATAGTTTCATATTTAAATATATATCAAACTAAAGAGTAATATTTACAATTTTCCTCAAAGAAAACTCAATTAGAGTGTTTGGTCAATCAGAGCAATATATATATATATATATATATATATATATATATATATATATATATATATATATATATATATATATATATATATATATATATATATATATATATGTGGCTCATCTTTGAAAAACTTTAGGACCTTGACTTATAGAATTCTATCTGTATATCAAGTTGAAAATATCAGCAATTTCAACAAGTTTTTACCCCATAAGGGGATTTACTTCATTATTATTTTGCTGTCCTGATTTTCTGGCTAAAAGGCATTTGATTTTTTTGATAAAAGGAAAAGCTCATAAAATTGCTGCAATCTTTAGCCACTTGACCAGGATCACTGTCCTTCAATTTCTTTTGATCATCGGCAAACACAAATCTCAATTCTCAATAAATCAATGTATCAACAACATTTCTTTTGCATTATTGATTTACAAGTAATCACTTAAATGGAATAAGGATATTCATTTTTTCAAGAATAATAAATATAACCCACCCCCTATGGAGTGGTCTAATGGGTGGAACGAGAGAAAGAGAGTGTGATGTCATTTGACCCAAGTTTGAATCATCTGATCATTCATTTATAAGGTCAATTAAAAAAAAAAAGAATTATTACACTGCTCTTATTTATAAAATTATAATTACCATCCTCTTGAGGTAAGTCTAAAGTTGACATGAGCGTCAAATGATTTTTCTCGGATCAAGCTCGGACGCCCTAACAACTGTTAGCGATGCACACAAAGAGTCATTAGTGCAAGGAGTAATTGAGGGAAGTACCGTAAAATTGTACATCACATTGGAAAAATCAAAAGATTCCATTTTTTTTTAGTAAAATAGCAAATATTATTACTTGAAATATGAAAATATATACAATAAGTACTTGTAAATTGAAATGCATATATATCCCTTGCAATACACTAGCAGTCACCCAAAGTACTTGTGATGCATATCATATATCCCTTGCAATACTCTAGCAGTCAAGTACTTGTTCAATTCTTACACAACATTTTAGTTTACCAATGATTTTATTTTTTTCATTTTCTCGCAAAACACCAGGATCCTCATATTTTACGATAATAATGCAATAAAACGTAAAATGAACGTACTTTTCATGAAAATTGTATGCTAAAAAACTATACCGTATTAAAACAAATAAAGAAAATAGAGTCAAATACATGTGAAACATTGCTTAATATTGAACTCAAGAGGCACATAGGCAACCACGTAATACAATAAGCATGTTTTACAGGTAGATAAGTCCACACAATTGGATCTGTGCATCATACCATCTAAACAAGTGGGACATGTTTGGCTCTTCAACCAAAAATGAATAAGGGGGAAAAAAACTACTCTTTAATTTGTTATAATAAACGAATACTTTTTGGTCGAGAATCTCAAATACACTAAATAGTATTATACCATAAGATCTACACATAATCACACACACACACACATACATGTGGGTGTGTGCAAAGTGAGTAGTTATCAATCCACATGTACGGTGAGATCTTACCCGATGTATTTGACCGGTTGTAGCATCAAACAAAAAGAATCGAACTTCAACAACACACTTTTTATACAATTGCTTAAGACCCTGCGGTTAAGAAACCCTTATAATTATTAATTAAAACTTCAATAATAGTACTTAAAAAGATATTATTCTAAATTAAAAACAACTTTTAGAAATATATATATACATATATATTATAAAAACCCTGAATCAAATCACCGAAAGGAAATATTTTAGGTGGTAAATTGCAGAATGCACAAGTTTTTGGCTAAGCACTAACTGTTACCCCAGTCCCTTTATGATTAAACAACCAAAAAAAGGCCAAGAATATAAATATATAAAATAAATTAATAAATAAACAATAATAATAAGACAAATTTTAACAGTATATTCTATCAATACCTTTACAGTTCAAATTCTGATGATGGTGTTTGCTTTGACTATAAAGGTCCAATCTGCACACGAGTGTGATCAGGGATTCTAATAAAAAAAATCAGACAAGGTTTCTTGATTAGTGTGTGCATGTAACTCAAGGCTTTATTATTTGCCTGTAATGAGTCTCGATCCGATATTATTACAGTGACGAGTCGTGTAGTTAAGTATACGGACATGAAAGTGTTATTAGCTGCTAATAATTGTTCACACACCGTTAGTACTACACAGTAACCTACCTACAATTTAATCGTTGAACGTGTCTTAAGCCCGTGGCTCGAAGAGTTGGCTGGATATGGGTAGTTCTCTATGAGATAAACTTGAACTATAGCTTTACATTACCTACAACTACAATAGCATATGTTAGAATAAGTTAGCAATATACAATTGGAGATACAGTGGTTGCAATGAAATCTAGAAGGCAAACATTTTTATTACGAAAGCGGTGATGCGAACAAGATTCAGAACTGGATACGCGATAATGTACAGCTAACGAAGATCTAGGATTAGATTTAAATTTGCTAAAAATAAAACAATAGATAAGTTATTTTGTAGATGACAAAAGTATTTAGCACAGATAGAGGGGATATTTGTGAGTAAGCTGATATCCTTTGAGATACTATAGTAAATTATGTTTCAATAATTCTTCATACTTAATTAGTAGGTATGTCATAAGGATATCTTTTAATTTAACCAATCCTTCCCTTCTTAGAGAGAGAGAGAGAGAGAGAGAGAGAGAGAGAGAGAGAGAGAGAGAGAGAGAGAGAGAGAGAGAGAGAGAGAGAGAGAGAGAGAGAGAGGAAGTATCCTGTAGGCTTCACCGGTTCATGCGAGGCTTTCTGCACGAATTTTATACATGCGTTGACCGAGGATAAGGAGATGCTGTAGATAAAAAATATTCCTTTGTTATTAAACAAGTCATTTGGCAATAGTTAAAGTATAAGCTTTTAAAGAAACTTAAAGACAAAGTGTCCTAACTAAAATATAAAAAAAAGTTGCTATTTTAACCAGTTGCAGATTCTTGCCTGCCTATTTAAGCACTTGTCCCCGTGAGTATGTAGACACACACACGCACACCAGCAATTTTTTTCTCTCGTCTTCTCCTTCTTCCCAATAACAATGTTTTCGATAGTTTTCTTCGTCGGAGCTTTACTCATTATCCTCATTACAAACTGGCTTTACAATTGGTGGAATCCTAAGTGTAATGGAGTCCTCCCACCAGGTTCAATGGGCTGGCCGATTCTCGGCGAAACTCTTTCCTTCTTTGCCCCTAACACAACTTTGGATATTTCTCCTTTTGTAAAGGACAGGATGCAAAGGTAATAATAATAATAGTAAATCACAATGCAGTTGAATAATCATTTACCTTCTGCTTCCTTTCTCACAGTTATTGTTTATGAAACTTTTCCAGATACGGGCCGATTTTCAAGACTAGTGTAGTGGGAAGGCCGATAATAGTATCGACCGATGCAGATCTTAATTACTACATCTTTCAACAAGAGGGGCAGTTGTTTCAGAGCTGGTATCCGGATACCTTCACCGAGATATTCGGTAGGCAAAATGTAGGTTCGTTGCATGGATTCATGTACAAGTACCTTAAAAACATGGTTCTGAATCTATTCGGTATCGAAAGCCTGAAGAAGATGCTCCCAGAAGTTGAACAGACATCAAAACGGAACCTGCAAAGGTGGTCGCTCGAAACTAGTGTCGATGTAAAAGATGCAAGTGCACAGGTATTATCAAGAACCAATTTTTTTTTTTTTTTTTTTGCTTTACACATTTGACAAATTTATTTGGCTGATGTATCTTCTGCAGATGATATTTGACCTCAGTGCAAAAAAGCTAATCAGCTATGATTCAGAAAAATCGACCGAGAATCTAAGGGAAAGTTTTGTAGCTTTCATACAGGGATTGATTTCCTTCCCATTAAACATTCCTGGATCAGCCTACAACAAATGTTTACAGGTGTGCAAATAAATAATTGATGACAATCAATTGTTTATACAAAAAAAATTATTGTCAACTAACTCATATTAATTTGAACAGGGAAGAAAGAAGGCAATGAAGATGCTGAAAAACATGCTACAAGAAAGACGAGAAAGGCCGAGAAAAATCCAAACCGATTTCTTCGATTATGTGTTGGAAGAGCTTCAAAGAGAGGATACGGTACTCACGGAGGCGATTGCTCTGGATTTGATGTTCGTGTTGCTTTTTGCCAGCTTTGAAACAACCTCCCTGGCAATCACTTTAGCAACCAAATTTCTCGTCGAGTATCCCCTCGTGTTAAAAGAATTGACTGTGAGTAAAAACTAAATTACCATCATTCATACAATCAGTCCTGGTGCTTTTTATTAACATGCCTCTAATAACAGGAGGAACACGAGGCGATTATTAAAAGACGGGAAAATCCGGATTCCGGACTTACATGGAATGAGTACAAATCAATGAAATTCACATTTCAGGTGAATCTTCATTTTTTTTTTCACCTTTCCCCTAAAATTTTTAATCATTTCTAACAAAATTGAATATTGCAGTTTATCAACGAAACAGTCAGACTGGCAAACATAGTTCCTGCAATTTTCAGAAAAGCACTGAGGGAAATCAAATTTAAAGGTTAGGGTTAAAACATTGACTATAACTCATAAGATCATAAAAAATTTTCCAGATTGGTTCATATTGCATATTTTTTAATACAAATTCTTGGTGGTGCAGAATATACTATTCCAGCTGGTTGGGCGGTTATGGTATGTCCTCCAGCTGTGCACTTAAACCCCACCAGATATAAAAATCCTCTTGACTTCGATCCGTGGAGATGGGAGGCAAGTATTAACTACCAAACTATATTTTTATATTTTATTCATGCAAACTCGTAATCACGGAAATATTGACGCCTACAGGGAATAGACACGAATGGTGCATCAAGAAACTTCATGGCATTTGGAGGCGGGATGCGATTCTGTGTCGGAACAGATTTTACTAAGGTGCAGATGGCTGTCTTTCTACATTCCTTGGTAACCAAGTACAAGTAAGAATTAACGAGTTCAGTAAAAAAAAAAAAAAAAAAAAAATCTCCGTTTATGCATGAAAAAAGCTTAGAGAAAACTAACCTCTTTGCGTATGTCAGGTGGACACCGATCAAAGGCGGCAACACCCTTCGAACTCCTGGTTTACAGTTTCCTAATGGCTATCACATTCAAATATCTGAAAAAGAGAAAGCAAGTATAGTGTCAGATAAAGAAGACACTCATGCAAGCCAATTGGATGGGTAAAAAGACACACCTGTACCACTGATATCCTCAAGCTGCAAGAGAATAAGAATCGATGAAGCAAATACGAAAAAAGTGATATAGCAATGGAAATTTTGAACCACAATGCGATGAAATTGTGGTCTTGATACATATCGAGGCACATAAATCCATAAGCCGAAATACAGAGAAGCAATAGAAAAATCTGAATATATGATATATATAATATTGTCAGTTAGTATCATTAGCTACTATGTTAGTAGTATATAGAAGTTTTTCCAGTATACTATTATGTAAGTTCTGGTCATTGGAATACGATTAGTTTAAATGAATACAATATACATATTGTTAGTTAAAGTATTATGTCCTGGTTGTCAAATGTCACCGCTACCCATAGGTTTTCTTTCTTTTCGTCTTCTCCATTCTACTCAAGTGAACTTGTTCCGACACTCCCGATTTGTTGAGTCTTCCATGCTTGTGCTTGTCCTTATGAACATGGTGAAGATAATAATGGTAATCACTTTCCCCTAGTTTCGTCTTGTGCCTGTGCTCACCGTGACTACTTCGCCTCCTATGAGTATCAGTGTGCTGCTTGTGATGCCTCTTTTCATGCCTATGATGTCTCTTCAAGTCGACCAGTGACATTTCGGCATCTCTGTGATGCTTCCTTATGTGTCCACTTCTGTTGTCATAAGTCCATACGTGATCCTCCCACCAGTCATATAAAGGGTCAAAGAGTCCTTTTTGATGTAAAAGCCAGAGTAGAACTATAGCTGAAACTCAGAAAGACGAGATATCAAATGCTTTTTTACCTTTGAAATCGAGATACTTAACTCGCGTATTGAAAAAAATCCCCGGTCGGTAAACATGGTACCTGTTGGAAAGATTGCTAGAAACAGACCAAACATCAATATCCAACTCATGCAGATATATTGTATATGGCAGCTGAAGTCGAAAAACCCAGAGCACTTCCTTCTGTTTCGTACAAAATATCCGAGGAACATTGTCAGATGTCAGCTTGAATGAAAAAAATTAACAATGTTTTTTTTGGCTAAAATGAATGCAAAACATCACATTAACGACATATTCTGTGATTTGAATGACTAGATTTCTCGACCTAGAGGAAAATACAGTACCTGCAACTTTTTCCAGTGACGAAATCTGCGAAACCAGTCCAAAGTTTGTTCCACAGCACTTCAATTGATTCAAAGAAACCATTTATACTGGTCTTTGGAGGTTGAAATGGAATCTGAATGGTGACCATGATTGATGAGATTTAGTTGACTGATGTGAATCCACAAACAAATTTAGCCATACGAGAAAAGTACATCGTTCTGCCAAACACCCTATCTTCGTTTATCAAGAAATAACGAGTATGAAATTCCAAACAAGTTTGCATGACATAATGGTCTTGAAGTAACAATGTTCACTTTGTCTAGAGTGTGATAACTATTCGCCAAATATATGTCTCCTTAACAAGCGCAAATGCCTAAAATCATCATTTCTTGGAAGGAGCTTCTTGATATTTGTTTATCGATAAATAAAAGGTCCGAAAAAATTCAGTTGTTTGGTCAGTAAGTGACAATACCCACATGTAAGCATTATGTTGCATTGATGTTAGATTGTAGTCAAACCTGTGATCCATTTTCAATAACAGTAGCCGTAGTTGTAAATTGGCACTCTGCTCTGTCAACTTCACTAAAATCTGAGTCTTTCAGTATGGCTGCAATCAGATTCAGTGAAAGGATGCATTCAATATAATTTTCAAGTCCAATATCTGGAAATAGGGATCAGTAAAAAAACCTATATCGCCCCAAAAGTGATTTGTTTTTCTAACCAATATAAATTATACCTGAACAAGCATATCTTGCAGCTTGATCAGTTGTTGGATACAACTTAAATGATCGGGTTATTACTTCATTTGGCTTCATTATGTAAAATTGTTCCTGCATTATCACAAATAATATTATGATATATTACCAACAAATTACATTGATGTTTGATCTCAAAACACATTTGGGCATATTGCAGTATTCAAGATGGAGTAATTACCTCCATTAGGCTGACACCAGATGAGCAATCAAACTGCAAGACAACCATAAGTAATTATCCAAACTATGCAGATTCAAGCATACGAAAACACATCATTTCTGAATACAGATTCGGAAAAGGCAACTTGAATAGATTTATATTTGGGTAAATTATCAGTTTAACGTGGCAAATAGTTAAAATTACTCAAATAATTTTTATCTTACCTAACTTTAGTACTATCTATCTTATGTATTTACAAACAATCATATTTTTTAAAACACTATCTTACGGTAAGGCTGTAGGATGCTTCAACTTCACCAATATTTTTTGTTGTAATTGTTGCAGTCCCAAATTGTGTCAAAGCTTCAAAAGTTGGCACAGTGATGGCCAAAATTTTGCCTGGGCTCCTGAAAAAGGTAAAGCCTATCAGACTAAAAAACTTACCAATGAACAAATTGTCAAGAAGAAAAAGAAATGATATCAAAAATAAAAGTAGGAAGTAATTAGTTTGGTTTTTAAATATGAAAGCATATAAGATGATAATATCCTTTCCTCTTGAAAACAAAAAGATATATATCCCATCTTTTTTTCACAAACATAAAATAAAACAAAGATCTCTTCATTTTTTCCTTTACCAACCTTATAGCCTTTTTTTTTTTAATTACTGAAATACCGAGTAACAACTGCTACAGAAACTCTGAGTGTGAATAAAAACACACAAACACAAACCTTTTGTATTTACATGCCCTTATATATGAAAAAAACATGATAAAATGGAAACATTTAAGCATTTTTCTGAGAGTTAAGATTAACCTTTGATACACATATTCTATATCATCAGCTCTCAGTTCCAGCAAAAGGTTTGTATTAAGAACTTCTGTGATGCCTATGGAAAATGCATGACTTCCCGCATTCTGCTGATTCAATAAAGCCGTTAGGCATCCGTTAATGGGTATTCTTGAGAATCCAAAACTTAATTTAAATCCCTAAAACGTAACTGGATGTTGGTTTATCCTCTCAAACCTTCTTTCCACGCAATAAAGAGGAACCTGATTCCGGCTAATTCTGTTCTGGTCTGCCTGAAAATAGAGAAAGGCATCATATGAGATCTCTTTCATCATCAAAAGCTGTATGAGTTCACAGGATATGTAACTCGAGGGCATATAATCAACAGCTATATGTGCTTACAGAATAACTTACTCAAAATGCATATAAGCAAGAGAAAACAAATACTTTAACAAGATTTGATTTTTTTTTGCTGGTTCCATGTTTAGCAACTATGATGTAATTTCATTTGAAGAACAAAATTAGAAAAACTGTAAGTTTTGTTTTCTAACATCACAGTAAATATTTAATAATAAGGCCTAAAAGTTAATCGATGGTGAGTTTACTAACATTAACAATCAGAAATTACAAAACCATGATATGCAAAGACAATCCATTCAGACTCTGCAAGAAATTAAACTGCAGAGAAAAAAAAGCCCCATGCAAGGAAATCAAGATATAGTAAACATTTTTTTAGGATGAGAGGTCAAATCGATTAACTAACATCCCAAAAGTTCCACAGTTGATTATGCAAGCAACTCCAAAATGGTGCAGCACAAAAGTCTGGTTGCGTGTTAAAAGCCTCATAACTGACACCAATTTTGTTGCATTCAAGACCATCTAGTGTAAACCTGACTCGTTCAAGGAGCATCCACATGGAAAAATTGCTCCCCAGATTTTGAGGTTGACCCGGACCACCCTTCAATAAGAGGATGGATTATATAAATAACCAATTATGAAACATCAAAGAACATAAAGTTTATAGGATGACAGACCATTGGTCGTTTACCGCTTGGTTTCGAATTCTGGGAAGGTAATTTATGTTTAGTCGACTTTATCATATCATGGTTTATGCATTAAAAATGGTGAGGCATCATCATAACTTTGATGAAAACCAAGCCAAAACTTGGAAGAAGGAATATAAATCCCGTGCCAAGAAATCTACCTGTCTTGGAACAATGAGGTAGAAGTCATCGAATGAGGGAATATCAGTGTATCCAACATAATCTCCAACCAGGTTCACCCTCAAAAATTTATCACCAGATATTGCAGTCCTATTCTCAGGACCCACAATAACTTCCTGCAAAAAGTTCCGAGATTAGTTCTTATATGTAGATGAAAACTTCTAATGCCATCGTTCCATTGTGCAGCTAATGAAGGATTAAAGATAAAAGAAATAAGCACTAGTGGATGAATAGCATTTACTTTATATGTAGACTGAACATTATTTCTATTCACTAGTAATAATAGAGAACATCAAATTCTACACTAGTAATAATTATGTAAGGGTTAGGCCTTCTGATTGTGATCAAAATTGAATTTACAAAGTGGCTTACCGATATTTTCGATTTTGTCTTAACCTCAATGCGTATACTAAATCCAACAGACCGCTGTCCAATGCCAAACACATGGAACCTAACATCAGCATGTTAAATAAGATAAGAGAAAGAAGAAAAAGGTAATAATGTAAGCAACTAAGCATGATTTCAAGATTGAAATGGAAAATATCAATATCATCACTAAGGTCCAACTTTAGTATCTACTTGTGAAACCTCAAAAGCTAAGATACTATTAACCACGCATTAGCAACTCTATGCTCTTTTAACTTATTGGATACCACAGAAATTAATTTATTCGTATGACTAAACCTCAGATGATGAAAGCATCATCGGTAGGAAATGAATCAAAACCCAAGGGAATATATAGTTTAAAATATCATGTCCAATTCAAAATTTTGCATCTGACATGAAAACCTTAGCAAAATAAGAATTGAAAAAAGTAAAAGGATACCTTACCAATCATCTGTAAAACGTAGACAATGTGCTGTATTTGCCTTCCCTTTCATCAACTTGTCAACTAAACAATGAAAACTGTAAAAATCATACTGCACTTTCAAAAGCATTTAGGTTCATTCGACAGGGATGAGTTAAATACAGGTACTGAACTTACAAAAGTTTCCACATGATGATGGGACCCTGCGCTGGTCTCCACAAGGACAGCAAGTTGGCTATGCACAGAACAAAACATAAATATGATAAAACAAAAATATTTATGCTGCTGCGGAAGTTTCAAATCTCGAGTACATATTTAATATGAAAACTGATCAGCTGGCAGGTCTAAAAGAAACTGTCCTTAAGAGTCGAGACTTCAGGTGCCTTGCATTACTATTTGTATGAAACTAACATAGAAAACAAAAGGCTATTTATCCCTTTCGACTCTTGCTCCAGCAACAATAGTTCACACATTTACACTGTTTATAGCCAAAATACAACCGTACTTATTAAACTAGTGCTAGATATAATACCAAGCTCTTAGCCAGACCACTTATGGAGGTACCAACTAAACAATTTTCCCAGAAATTTTATCTGACTAAGCTGGAACTGTTTATTTCTGTATTTCCAGCTTACTTCCAATATTATTAGGATCAAAGTTTGAATGAATTCATTGCATCGAACCAGCTAAGTACTCGTACATTTACAATTGAAAGAGTGGACTTCTTTCATCCAGTAGATTGTTAATAGTATCAACTGATCACCCTAGGTCCATAAGTGGATGTGGAAGCAAATAAATGAAAGTCATAAATTTCAACAGTGTGGGAACATACATGGAGATTAGCATCATTTTCTGAAGATTAAGGGTTACATAGAAATGGTTAAGACGATGAATTGGCTCCTTTTTTTTTATTCTTATTTTCTGGAAACCTATCACAAAATCATCAGAAACTGCCTACATAAATAATAACTGTGCATCAGAATTGACTATCACTATCAGGACAAAAGTTAAAGCCTTCAAAATGTTTACCTGAGTATGCTCAATAATGTGACCATTCTCATCTCGCAGCCTATACAACAATTTTGTCAGAAACGGACAACCAAGAAAATGGAACAGTTAGATCACATGATATTCTCATGAAAAAAGAGAATAAATAAACAGGAAATCACAGTAAGATGTTTTGTGATCAAAATATAGGAAGAACCACTGAAACAAACATTTTATATGTCGCACCGACAGCAATTTTTCCTAATTTGGCCCATGAACTTAGTGGATTCGTCAAATCCTGGTTCAAGTGTAATTGAAACTTCTGGTTTAGAAGAGAGACTTTATGAAAAATCTCTAAACACTGAACAGTTCCCAAATAGTTGTTATCTGTAGTACCAAATGGCCCGCAATTGCTTTATGAATATTTCACTAATCCCGGTTATTAATTCCACTCGTCCTGTTATAGTTTTGGTCTAAGTTCAATTCAGTTTCCATATCTAGTGATCTTTGATAAAATACGAGATCGGAGATATACTTTTGTAAATGGAGAGAAAAAAGACCGGCAACTTAGCATAGCAGAAATGGTAAAATATCTTTCCGACTCTTATTAGGCTCTCATTTTTAACATTTTATTCTTCTTTCCATTATGTTATCTGCCTTCATCCATCCTCCTTCCCTATACAATTTATGCATTCAACTTAGTCTGATTTTCATACGGGAATCAATTTACACTAATCCTCAAGGCACCACGCGCACCAATTAAAAATTCAAATGCTTCCAACTAAAATACTATATTCAGAATACGGTGAAATCCAACAAAGGGTAATGAATTAACGGAGAGAACGGCACATTATCATAGAGGGAACTTGCCTCTCACACATTTTAACAACATCTGCAGCAGCATCAGGCTCGCATTTTCGTGTTTGAACATAAAATTCTTGGGGCTTATAAGCAACATCCTACAAGAGAATTTTATACACGCAAATCACCGACAAAAGAAAACCACATATAAACCAACTAATACATATTCGTATATATATATATAAAGATGAACCGAGCGGCAAAATGTATAAATTAAAACAATGGACGACCTAATTAAATGAAAATTACAATATACCCGTATGTATGTTAGCTCGTACAACGCATAAGCAGCGGATTTATTGATAGTTATAACCGGAGGAACTCGAAGCGTGCGCATATTGTCGGTGGAGTTCTCCTCCGCTTCTACTATTTCCGCCACCAGCGACGCCTCCCTCCCACTCTACAGTACACCCACAAAAAAAAAATAAAAAAAATACAGAGCACCATCAGTGAAGAAACTGGCATCGCTTTCAAACAAACGAAGAAATTCTCGCGCAAAAAAACCATACTGATTCGCTGGGCACAGCCAAATCGATAACGATCTTCGAAGTGCAGTTGAGCCCTTCCGATTCCGAGACCTTTTCGCATTTCTCGAGTTTCGATTTGGAGAGGATTTGTATAGCGGAGACGCTGCTCTGGGAGAGTAAAAACAAGGTAATCGCTACCAGAATTAGGGTTTTCATGGCGGAATTGATCGATTGATTGAAAAAAAATAAAAATTACGGAAAAGTGTGGAGACGGTGGGTTTGATTTGGGGATTTTGAAGGCAAAGGAAAAACCGTTTTGGCGGGCGAATAACTGCATCCGGGGTTTTGTGTTGGATTGTTATTTTGCAAGCGACTCCCTTGAGTTTTTATTAATTGGTTTTTGGCACATAACTCCCACTACTATGATGATTAAAAATATGAATGCAAATTGGACAGATCAAACCGTAATTAGCACTTTCGGAAAATTTTAATTTTTTTTAAATGAAAAATTAATTCTCATTTTATTCCAAAATTTGGATGATATTCGAAAAAGTTCAAATATATTTTATTTTATTGATCTAATAATTATAAATTTTAATAAAAAATACTATATATTTTTCCATCATTCTTCACATATTGTTGCAATTAATGAATCTAAAACAGCTAACTATGTTACCATTTTATTGTTGATTCAAAATATATATATTTACTTTAAATTAAGCTTGTATAAAATTAACTCAATTTTTCGACTTTATTTGTTATTTGATTGATTGAATTATTAAATATAATATAAAAATAATTTATTTGTTATACAAATATACAAATCCTAATTTTTTTTTTTTTTTTTTTCATATTATCAGTATTAAGATTTGGTCATATTAGCCCACCTCGATTGAATATCGAGCGTACTCCTCAAAAGTTGCACGCGCGTCGCTCCACGCATCACAAACAAATGTTATTCTACGGCGCTTAAGTCAGTTATGAATTTAGAACGTATAGAGAAACATAAGAACATTAATTTTTTATATAGGCAAAATATAATTCTTTGTTCGCATAAATCATTAATTTTAAATTAATGACGACAATAATGGAGAATTTAAATTTTATTTACTTTTTTTTTATATATACATATATGTATATGTATATATATAAAAGCAAGACTTTATAAACAATATTCGGAAAAAATACAGTTTTGGTATCTCAAGTTTGCACTAATTTCACATTTGGTCATTTATGTTTCAAAAATTCAACATTTTTAGTCTTTTCCGTCATTTTCCATTAAAACTAACGGAATCAAGCGTGTGCCCGTCACTGCCTTAACTAACGGAAATGACAAAAAATGTTAAATTATTGGAACATGAGGGACCTAATGTGGTTTTCGTGAACATGAGGACCAAATTTGAAATCAGTGCAAACTTGAGGGATAAAAACTGTAATTTTTCTGATAATAGTACATTTGATTTCATTCGCACACAGTTATGAACACAAAATAGTAGTTTCAATACCAAACAACTGTCTATTTTACAAAACAAATATTCTTACAGACATATCAATTAGCAGCAGACAGTTAATATAGTTTTTTTGCTTCAATAGCTGATTTAAAGAACAGTGTGGATTTAACATGATAACAAAATTATGCTTGCCCGAGATCAATAGGGTAGTGATGCAGACTTGTGCAGGTGGTCTCGTGTCTACGAACAAGTTCCTGAAGTATTCATAGTTCGTCTCTTCATGAGCGGCTTTGCGAATGCACTTTTTCGCGAATAGTTTTGTGCATGGTTTAGTAAGTCTATTTTTTTGCATGTCTTTGTGTATATATATATGTATATATAAATAAATAGAGATTACTTTGTAATCAGAAATGTAACCATATACTTCAAATTATTTATTATGTTATGCGTTTACAGAATTATTAGATCGAAACGAGTTCTATGGTGTAGTGGTTAGCACTCTGGACTTTGAATGCAGCGACCTGGGTTCGACTCCCGGTAGGACCTATACATAGTTTGTCAATTCATAATTAAATATGTTTTTTTTATTTCTAGATTTGAATTTTTAATTTCACACTAATATAGATCCAATTTTTTTTTTTTATCACGAAATATAGGAAATACTTTGCAATGTTTTTAAAACCGGACCGGACATTGAACCGGACAAGTCAGTGGGTCACGGTTGGACCGGTCCAACCGAGGTTCAACCGGGTTTTTTTATTTTTTTATTTTAAATTATTTATATACATAATAATAAGTTACTACTCTGTAAATATAAATACATTTATTATTATTAAATATCTACCTGAATATTCTAATTAAATTCATTATTAATTCACAATAATTTTTTTAACTTAACTAAAATTAAAGTAAAATTGAAGCATAAATTTGGGGTAAATTCCAAACCCCACGAATACATAATTTAATGTTCATAGTCTCATGGACTTCTTCAGTGCATTTGAAAACTTAGTATTAAATGTTATACGAGGGCTTCAAGATAAATAGTTGTAATTACACCTCAAACCAAAACCCTAATATTTTACTACAGCCTCCTTTCTCTATCAGTTTTTCTGCTCTTTCCGATCTCCTCAGATCTGTTCAACATTTCTGCAGTTTTTTTTCTTTTTTTCCTCTCTCCTTTCTTCCTTAATTTTTCTACAGATCCCCACCGACCGTTATCAATGACCTAATCAGAACTCAGCACACCTAATGGAGAAGTTTATATTTTTGTCTCTTTCTTTTTTTCTTTTTACAATATTAAACCGGTTTTCTTTCCCGGTTTTGTACGGTTTTGTCCGGTTCAACCGGAGAATTTCCGGTTCGCTACACACCGACCCGGTTTTTACAACTTTCCGGGTTTTCACCTCAAACCGGACCGTGTCCGCCGCCGGTTCGCGGTTAAACCGGTCGGACCGGCCGGTCCGGTCCGGTTTTCAAAACATTGATACTTTGTTTGTTGAACCGAGGATGGAGAATCATTAATGACCCGGATTTGTTGCTAGCTAAAATCTTAAAATTGCGCTTAACTGGACCTAAATGTGCTTGAAACTATGACGTGGTGTATAATCAAGGAAAAAAGTTGCATTTGTATGAAGAAGACGAATCCAAGCAAAAAAACATAACATTTCTCAGGCTGACTTGAAGAAGTAAGCAAAAAACAAAAAATCTGAAAATTAGATATAATATATCACCAACCGAGCACAAATCAATCAGAATAGACAATATACAACAAAGCAACATTCGAAATGTCACATAACAGTGTTGGTAGAAACCAATTCCGACGCTTTGTCGAAAATGACCTCCATTCAAATTTCATACATTATTTATAAGATATTTATATATCTTACAAAACAACTTTTGATTTCTTAACATCGGACTCCTTTGATTTTCTGCCAAGGATGGCAGTATGAAGAATCAACATATCTGAATAACAAAACAGAGGGCTTTGTGAAAGAAAGATGAACGCCCACCCCAAATTGTTATATAAATATTTTAGTTTGGTCTGTAGACATCGCAATTATTTCCTTCAATTTCTATGGCTTCTTCCAGCAATAGCTAATTCAACATCAGCGAAGATGATAGAGGGTGGATACGATAATGACTTGTATGAATACAAGGGTTGAAGTCAAACCAGAAATACTGAAATTGGTGATGTTTGGTGCCATAACGCAAAATTGATTGGGGATAGAGATAAAATGAAAAGAGCGTTTTTGTGATTTTCGATTTGGATGCAGAGGATTCTCGAAAGAAAAAAAAATCGGCGTTCTAATGTCGATTATTGAGTACAAAATCGGTTTTCGAATACCGATATTTTTTGAATTTTTTTTAAATAATACATTATATATTTGGTTAATTGATATTTTTTTAATATTTGAAACGAAAATGTTTATCACCATTCGGTGGCGTCTACCACTCCTTTAACACAATCGAGTAGAGTTTTTCGTATCTCAAATATTTATTCGTTAGATAATTCATTTGAATAATCCTCCATCAATCCCCTAGGTTGATGCACGAGAGTATGAGAAAACGGTCTTAAAAAAACACAGATAATAAAATCGGTATTTAAAAACCGAATTTTGTAGTACAAGTCGGCATGACAATACCGATAATACAAAAACAAATCGGTGTTGTCATGCCGATTTTTACTACAAAAGTCGGTTTTTAAGTACCGATTTTTATTAAAATAATCGGAATGTGGTTACCGACTTTAGTAACAAAAATCGGTATTTGCTGACCGATTTTTGGTATCGTCGAATTTTTTTCCCAACAAAAAAAACGACCCAAAAGCAAAAATAAACGGTTAAAACATATTTCATTTTGTTCTCCACCCTCGTAAACCTCCATATCATTGTTTTCTGGTTCCATCGGGAATGTTTGGTATGTATTTGATAATTTTGGTGTGTAGGATTTCTTGGTGGGTTTGTGAAGAAGAAGAGTTTTAAGTCGTGAAATAAGGAAGAGGGGTTTCTGGATTTATGTATTTTATTTGGTCTTGCACAAAGGAAATGATTTTTTTTTTTTTTTAATGTTTTGTATTTTTTATTTGATTTTAAATTTCGTTAAGGGTAAATTAATATTTTTATGTTGGATGTCTTGAACTAATAAAAAAATGGGCTTGCATATAACCGCCGCCTTAAAGAAAAAGTAAATGAACTCCGAAGTCCCAGCAATAACACCTAATTGCAAAAGATAAATACAAGAACTTTAGAGCGTATATTTGACATTTACATTATTCTGTTAGTGTAGCTAACGTTAACTACCCCTTGATAACCACAAGGTGGTTATGTGCTTGTATTGATACCACGAGGGGGTTATGTACCAAATGGTCAAACCACAAGGGAGTTATGTGCTATTTACCCTAATTTTAATTATGAGTGTGAAATCTAAATGTCAAATACTATACAATGCTTAATCCTAATTCCTAATTAAGGGCTTCGTGTATTCCTAATTCCGGTTTGATTGTTTTAGCTAGAATCAAGTGACAATTTTATAAACAATCACCACCTTATTTAGAGCAACTCCAACCGGGTTATTAAATGGGTTATCAAACCACTTAACCTCCATTTGACTCCCCAATTTTAAAAACTCTCTCCTCCAATGGGATTATTAAAATAGAGTTTTATTTTGATAACTCATCATTCGGGAAGTAAAAATACATCCCAAATTAATAGTTATCAAATATTCTCCTAAAAAATAGGAGCACGTGAAAAAAGAAAAACCTCAACATAATTGAGTTTTTTTTCTTTTTACGTAAAAATCTCAACAGAATAAAATTAAATTCTCAACATAATTGATTTTTTTTTTTCTTTTCTTTACGTAAAAATCTCAACATAATAAAATTAAATTTTCTACGTCTTCAACAACTTTCCACTGGAAAAAAATCTCAACGTAATAAAATTAAATTCTCTATGTATTCAATAGAT